AATATCTGAAAGAATTTGCTACAGAATATCCGTTATTTGAAAGTTGACAGCTCGGAGAAAAATGCCGCGATTCTAGAGTCAACATCGCCTTAGAAACGCCCATATTAGCTAGTTGTCCTTCCAACTTATCTGAAAACCGCCGAAGATGAGAATGAGGGTATCACTTCGAGGGAAGTAATTACTCACTCTCCGTAGCGAGCAGAATTTGAAGATGACAAAGTGGCATGACTCACCCTGGTGTATATTAAAATACTGGCTCAATGATGACTAATCGAAAACCTACGTTTCTACGTAAACACAGACACCGCCGCTGAATTCGAACATTTATAGCTACCTTAAAAATATATGTAAGAAAGTATGCACACTATTTTAACAGAGTGGTTGTAAGTGTTCCCATGGATCTATCTCCGGTGGATCTATCTCCCCTCCTCTCCATCTCTGTTTTTGATGACGGGGCAGCCCCTCCCAACCACGCTGCTCCGACGCCTCCTCCTCGCCACCGGGATTGAGGCCAACCCGGCGGGGATCCTGATCCAACAAGGACTACTAGCCAGCCAGGAACCTGGCCTGGTGACATTTAATTCTAGTATCGAGAGCATCTTGCAACCACCTAGCAATGCTGGTGTTAAGGAGCCGTGAGCCAGTGTCGAAGAAGACTGCAAACTTAACCAGTTAGTCTTATTGCAGCTTTTGAAGACAGTCACAAGGATGGCCGGATGCCTGTCATTAGCTACGGTCCCATTTTCATATGCTTGGTAAGTCATCCAATGGAGATAGGTAACTAAAATGAACCCAGGGCACTGAACAGGACCTACTTCGCTTTGCGTGAACAAACTTGAAGAGCCAAGGTCAAGACAGGAGTATTCATGGCAAACGAGCATGGTCAAGACTCATCCAAAACAGACACTAGCTGTCTGTGAGACGGCGAGCAATAAGGAGGCCTTAGGGTGGTACATTATGCACCTGTCTGCGATAAAGGATGATTGAAATCGTTGTCTGAGATATCATGTGCCGAACAGACAGACCGCAATGAACACCGTTTCGTTGCCGGAGGACAGGCACGTCAGGGGGAGCAAGATGCGACCCGCGGGTTGAAATTTGATTTGGACGGCACAATTGCATGCAAAAGGCAACAGATAACGAAACAGACAAAATTTTGCTAGAAGCATCACGGAAAATTATAATTGTTATAGGTAAAACACACCCGTAAGAGAAGATTCGATCCGGTTTCCATCGTCCCACAACAGAAGCATACAAGCCCATAACCAGAGCTGCACAGTCGAAAAGCATATGAAAACCATCGGAGATGAGGCCCAGGCTGTTTGTCCAAACTCCATAGATGAGTTCAACGAAGGTGAAAGACTAAAGAAGGGAAGTTTGAAGACTGATTAGAGCTTGGAGACAGAAAATTGTGGTCATTAGACATGTCATCTGGGAAGGCGACCGCTTGGGGAATGCCAAGTTGGACTAAAGACTATAGGTGTAAACATACATGCGATATACTAGACAGTTCGTCTCTAAATTGTCTTCATCAGACTCCTCAATGCGTGTGATAGAATGGTAGCATGCGCACGTTGTTCGCCTCTCTGCGCTGCGCCTAGTAGATCATGGCTCGCCGAGCAGTTAAGTGTCAGGCGCCGACAAATTCTTTATCACCTCTATCACGACGCTGTCACCAACAACTCTGGCCAAAATAACGATACAGTCACTGTGAGTACGCAGGCCAAGATTTCACTTAGTTTGTGGTAACCGGGCTCACCTGGTTTTGCATTAGTGTGCTTTCATGATGTCATCGTAAAGTTATAGTGAATGCGGTCTACGTCCCCACTATGGATGCCGATTATTTGCGTAAGAGACATGGTGAACTTCAGACTGCTATCAGGAAGTTCATTGTACGATCTCATTGTTGCGAGTTAAGGAAGGCGGGGACGGGAAATGTAAAGCCGAGGGATTGATCACGACGCGATGTCAAAATTATTGTGAACTTCGCTGTGCTGATCAACCTGATCGTTACAACTACCCGCTTTCGACATTCGAGAAGACATCTAGCTGCCGAATTTCAGGATGGTGGTTACAAGTCACTGCAAATCGGCTTAACGCATAAGTACGCTAGACGAACTGGATGATATACGCTCGTGGCGAAAAGGGCTTCGATCCTGCCCTAGTGAAGAAAAGGCTACAAATCAGGGTACGTCAGACTAAAGATAAAATCTGCGAGGAAATACGGCATCGATCATCTCAGAATTGCAGATGCTAGCGCTAGCTTCGGTCTTATAATTTGTCTGTGTCCTAAACGAAGCTGAGGCAGCAGCATCCGGATAGAACCCGACACACGCTGAGTGCTCAACATTTTAACCCCGCAGACATCGGATCGAAGAAACCCCGGTGCCTGAACAACTGCGATCAAGGTCCACCACACGCTGAGAAGAGCCTTCTAGCGACATTGAAACCGAAGAACAACAGTCAACAAGGATAACCTTTTAATCTGCCGGTGGTGCTCAATTGAACTACTTCATCAATTACATTGGCTTCTCGCACAAAACTAGGAAGGAGGGATCGTTTCCACAGGGCATAAACACTACATAGGCCTTAGCAGCTGTTCTCCTCAGCTTTTCCCGCTTTTGAAACGACGTAAGAACAAAAACGAATCAGTGTGGATTGCGGCCATGAGACGGGATGTGTGAGTCAGAACTTTCCTTTCGTCTAACCCTCGGAGACTACTATCCTCAACAGTCCCACTTCGTTTGTTTCATGAATTTTGTCTCTGCCCATCCGGACTCTCTGTAGTCGATCATGCCACCGAAATTACTCGTCTAATGCAAACGTGTTGTCACAGTAGAGACCAAATACACGTGACACCTTTATTGTCATCTGCGTCGTCCATCAGTGCTGCGTTACCTTACCAAATCTGTTCAACTGTATGACAGACTGAGTTCTTAAGTATGCACTGGTAGACAACGGTTTTGTAGGTCGTGGTAGGCATATTATCGATTCTGACTACGCCGATGACGTTGCACTGCTGGAGGACAACCTGCTGATATGTTTTTCCTTGTTGTTAACGGTTGCATACGACGAGGTGCGGAATGCCGATAAATGGCAAAATATAGGAACACGGGCGGTTTGCGTGAACTACATTTTATGTTCATTAACTTGTGTATTTGTGGGTACAGCTTTCCATTGACGAAAACTATTCTACGATGGTAGTATCCACAATTTTGTCGCTATCCATGTCCGGTGACAATAATATGTATAAGTATCAGAGACTTCACAAAATATATTAACCGTATGGTCGCGCCTTCATAGATTTCCCGGATATCTGCAAAGCTGATCCCACACGCTCATATCCTACATAAATTGAAGATGCGTGGTGCTTCTTTAATTTGGGTTTTAGTATCAACAGACAACGGTAGAAGGCCTTAGCTCCTCATTACGAGAAACCTGCTAACATGAAGCGCGGGAATCGTCCGTACAAAAAATATACAATGCTGCAGAATAAACCCCTTTCAACGGTGCCCTACAGATATTGTTAGTCCACAGGACACACCGTGTTGTACATCTCTCGGTGTGGAGAAACAAATTAAAATGCCAAGACTAACAACGTTTCAACCGCTTCGGCACAGCCACTGACCCCTTCAGCTACAGTGGCGTATATACTAGCAGACCAGTTAATGACAGGTGTCTACATGCAACTTCTACTACCAACTCTGGCGTGGGCAAAATCATTATTTGCCTACTTTCGTGAAAAGAATTTGGAGAAAATTCGAGAGATTCCGATTTACTGCCGCGGCACACGGTCTGCTACATGATGCCCTACTGCTACTTCGGTAAGAATAACTTATGTGGCCGCCTAACCGAAATAATAAACAGGCCTACATCCAATATAGGAATGGTAATAATAGAGGATATATACGGCAGATGACCTAAATCATGAAATTTCGAGTCCGAAATGCGAGGAGGTAGTATGCTGCCCATTTGGGGCTGTTGTTTTTGTTTAGTGAATTTATATGAGGAGCAGAAAGCTGTCTACAGAGAAAATGTCATGTCAACTTTGTTCTGTGAAAGGAAAACAAGCCAAAATTAAG